CCTAACAACAACAAGAACATCCATAAGCAAAGGTCCAGTTCATCAGATTATAGCAATTTATTCTTGGGCCCTGTAACAAAATTCTTTATCTTCATCTGGTTGAGTTATGTTCAGCTATTCATGCAAGCTATGTCAAATGGGTAATATCTGCAAGTGTTGGAGTTCTTGCACACCTCTCCCCACATCAGACCAGCTGGCCACGTGACTCTCAGCTCTAGTCTCTAGTGGCTAGGTCAGGAGTTCACATTCCTCCCCAAACTCCATGGGCTCAGGAGTTCACATTCCTCCCCAAACTTCAGACCAGTCAGTCCTTCCTTGTCTCTCTCTCTCATATCAAAGTCATTGATTGCCTCAAAGTCAGCCCATGTCTTCATTACTGCATTTCCCCTACTTCCACTCACAAGCAGTCCAGACGACCAACAGAATTTTACAGGAACAATCTACTATTGAAAAAAGATGCAGAACACTATGTATAGTTAGTTACACTACCGTTTCTGTTTAAAAAAGGGAGGGCATAATATTGGTATATATGTAAAATATATATTGATATCTACATAGAAAACAAGTTTCATTGGTTAACTTCTGGTATAAAAAATGTATAACTGAAGCAAGGACTGAAGGGACACTTCACTGTGCAGCTTTTTTGGTGAATGTATTGCGATTCAAAATTAAGTAAAACTAAAAAAAGCATGAACTATTTACAAACTTCCACAGATTACCCATCTCTATGATCACAGATTTTTCCTTGCTGCCCTCTACCCCACCTTTCCAAGGTATCCATGAAAGGAAAAATAAGAAATTTCCTCAATCTTCTAAACAGCCAGATTTTCACAATCCTTTCACCTCTCTAAAACTTTGGCAGATTACAACAAAAAGTAGGAAAGAACAGCAAAACGAGAAGCAAAATCTCAAACGGTGATCAAACTGTGTCCATATTTTAAAATTTCTTAGAATGCAGAAAAGTGAGCAATATTGTTATTTTCATATAATAGCTGGATTTTATCAAGTATGTTGATAAATCAATTATTAATCAACTATATATGTAAATTACATTTTTTGTTGATCTTATCTGAAGTGATCTTTCTTTTCTTGCTTGATTTTCCAGATTAAAGCATTTTTGTGTCAAAGCCCCAAGTCATTTATTGAAAGGATTTGAAAATTTTCCTAATTGATCATTGTTCAGCGCCGACAAATAGGTTCCAACTCATAGCAACCCTGTATAGGGTTTCCAAGGAGCGGATGGTGGATTTGAACCTCCGACCTTGTGGTTAACAGTCCAGTGTTTGTCTTACAGCATCACACCAGTATTTCAATTGATCATTATATATCATTCGTTATAATTTACAGCACAATCATAATTTCTATAATTGAAATTAAAACAACCAGTGCAAAAACTACCTCTTAAGAGGGAAAGGTTTCAGGCCGTAGAAATAAACAGGTCACATTCCCACTCTACCTCCTGGCGATTTGTCCAGTGGGAGGCTAACAGGGTGTTTGTTAATTTAAGGAAACATTATGTTGAGAGAATGTTGTCGGTGTAGTTTTATTATTGAACAAAAAGGAAACCGAGGGGAAGCAACCATTACTTGGGTGGAACGAGTGACCTAAGACATTGTGGTAACCAAGCCAAACTCTGGAAGGGTGGGGGTGTGATGGGAGAAGGCAAGGAAAGCGTCCAAAACGACTCCACAAGGAGGATTCAACGTTTAACTTTATAATTTGTTTATATGCATCCCCGCATTCCTAAATCCCTTTTGTGTCATGTTTTAGTCATTCTCAACAGTATTTCAAACTTTTTCAGGTTAATATTTTTTTTTAGGTTACACCATAAACAAGTGAAGGATGTGGCGCTGTGGATTAATGCACTAGACTGCAAAACCGTTTTGAACTGCAAGGTTGGCAGTTTAAGTTTACCAGTCGCTCCTCGGAAACCCCATATAGGGTCCCTATGGGTCGGAACCAACTCGACGGCACTTAATAACAACAAGGACTATTTAATATTATAAACTCTATTAATAGAATTCAACTATTTATTAATAAAGAAAACAGTTGCTTGTAAAAAAATAAAACAAAACAAAAAACCCCTGCGATACGCTGTTTTTTGACATACTCAAAAAATGGAAGGGAGCTTTTGTTTACTTGGGTTCCCTTCAAGAACAAGTGTGTTTCTATGCAAGCGAGTCTTCAGCAAACGAGAACTTTGTCCGTCCTCCGCCGCCCGGATTTACACTTGCAGGCCTCTTCCTGCAGCGGACGCCCCAGCGGGTCCGGGCGGGGGAGGGAGCCAGCCGGAGCGAGTGCGGTGTCACAAAGCGAAGCTAGAACTCTCGGGTTTCCGCCGAGGTCCAGGGAGACCGAGGGGAACCCCGCTTGCTGCCCGCCCCTACGCGGCGGAAGCCTTCCAGCGCCAGCCTCACCGTCTCCCTCCCCCTCAGTCTCCTTCACATAGGCCTGTCCCAGCCACAGCCTCGCAGTGACTCGAAATGCCGCAAAGTGTCCTGGGAGAGCCGGCTCACGCCGGAAGGACGCGCGGGCGCTTGGAGGCGAGGTTATAAAAGGGAAGGAACTGGCAGCGGGCGGAAGTGGGCGGTTCAGCTGCTCGGAGCGCTGTTGTTTGGGCCTCTTCAGGGGCGTTCTCTGGAGGTCCTGAGCACTGGCCGCAGTGACAGGGCAGCTCGGCCCCGCTTCCCCCACCTCTTCCCAGCTTGCAGCGTCTGTTCGCAGCCTCCGCGACCTGCAGGCCCAACATGGCGCAGGATGTGTCGGAGTATCTGAGCCAGAACCCGCGGGTGGCTTCCTGGGTGGAAGCGCTGCGCTGCGACGGCGAGACTGACAAACACTGGCGCCACCGTCGGGAGTTTCTGCTCCGCAACGCCGGGGACCTGGCCCCGACTGGCGGCGTTGGCTCCACTACCACGGATAACACGGCCGATGCCGAGAGCGGGACCCGCAATCGGCAGCTGCAGCAGCTCATCTCCTTCTCCTTGGCCTGGGCAAATCACGTCTTCCTTGGGTGCCGGTGAGTTGAGGAAGAGGCTCGGACCCGCGCTCCCCCATTTTGTCTTCCGCCCCGAGCCCTGGGCTCTCAGTGGGGAGGGGAAGTAGGTGTAAAGCGCGGGAGTTCGCGGGCTGGCTGCCCTCTAAGGGCAAGAAGGGCGTCTCCGCCCGCAGCGTAGCTGCCGTGATTGATAGACCCCCGATGGGTGGGGGGCTGCTGAAGTTGGAGTTGAGCTGACAAAGCCCTCGAAGAGCGACAGTAGATTTAAAGGTTGGTAAATGTAGACCCTGCCTCCCAGGCCCTGGATCATTTGTTTATGGAGGAGTGCCCAGGAAGCAAAGTTCCTAAGTTGATACGCTATGTTAATAGGACTAGGAAATGTATTTCCTGTTTTGGTATTAAATTAGAAAAAAGCATATATTTGTGTAAGTGAACTTTTTCCCTCTTTTTCAGGTACCCTCAAAAAGTAATGGATAAAATACTTAGTATGGCTGAAGGCATCAAAGTGACAGATGCTCCAATCCATACAACAAGAGACGAACTGGTTGCCAAGGTGAAGAAAAGAGGGATATCGAGTAGCAATGGTTAGCAGATCATAGATGTGCACATACATAGGAGTTTAGAATTTGTTTGATATAATTTGACTTTATTGTTATTAATTTTTTTAACGAGTCAGAATTTATGTAATGATATTAATCAACTTGGAATGTTAAACCTAAAATGTAATTCTGTATAATTTTTTAGATTCTGAATTTGATGGTTTTGTTGAACTGCTAGATTTTTTTAAATGTCAAATATTGTGTCTGTTGCTGTTAATTTTTTAACTTTGGAAATTGATGATGCTATTCGACTATTTTATAAATTAATGACGTTATTTTACACTTTTAAAACTAGCCCTAAAATATTTTGACACTGTTTTAATAAGTATCTGTCTTATAAATTTTTCGTTGGTATGTATTGGGTAGACTTACTCTGTTTTCCTTCTTTTTAGAAGGGGTAGAAGAATCATCCAAAAAACGATGCACAGAAGGAAAAAGCAATTCTGCAGCTAAACAAGATCATGCAAAAGCTTCTGCCAAAACAGAAGATGCATCAGCTAAGCAGGAAAACAGTTCAACAAGTACAGGATCATCCACCAAATTGGAGAGTAGTGGGAACTCAACTAGGAGCTCTGGCATCTCCTTGAATGAGAAAACCTCCACAGGTGATGGGGATCTATCTAGTTCCAGTCAAAGCAGTAGCAGCATGTCCTCTCAGGTAACGACTTCAGGATCTGGAAAAGTTTCTGAATCAGAAGTTTCAGATAAACATGGTTCTGCAGCATTTGTTTCCTCTTTATTGAAATCAAGTGTGAATAGTCATGTGACCCAATCCACTGATTCCAGACAACAAAGTGGCTCACCTAAAAAGAGTGCTTCAGAAGGCTCTTCAGTCTCAGCTTCTCAAAGCAGCTCAGAGATTCAAGTCCCCTTGTTGGGCTCCTCAGGAAGCTCAGAAGTAGAGTTGCCACTCTTGTCTTCTAAATCTAGTTCAGAGACAACTTCAAGTGAGTTAGTTTCTAAAACTAGTTCAGAAGCAAATGTTTCATTATCACTTCCTAAAAACAGTTCTTCATCAGGCACATCCTTGCTAACTCCCAAGAGTAGCTCCTCAACAAATACATCACTGCTGACTTCCAAAAGCACTTCCCAGGTAGCTGCATCATTGTTAGCATCCAAGAGCGGCTCCCAGACCAGTGGATCTCTAGTTTCCAAAAGCACTTCCTTAGCAAGTATGTCCCAACTGGCTTCTAAGAGTAGTTCTCAGACTAGCACATCACAGTTGCCTTCTAAAAGTTCTTCACAGTCCAGTGAGAGTTCGATCAAATTGTTCTGTAAGTTAACCAATGAAGATGTGAAACAGAAGCAACCTTTTTTTAATAGACTGTATAAAACAGTAGCATGGAAGTTGGTAGCTGTTGGTGGCTTTAGTTCTAATATGAATCATGGAGAGCTCCTGAATGCAGCTATTGAGGCTCTTAAAGCAACACTGGATGTGTTTTTTGTTCCACTAAAAGAACTGGCTGATCTGCCTCAAAATAAAAGCTCTCAAGAAAGTATTGTTTGTGAATTAAGGTGCAAGTCTGTTTATCTGGGCACTGGCTGTGGAAAAAGTGAAGAAAATGCTAAAGCAGTTGCTTCGAGAGAAGCGTTGAAGTTATTTCTCAAGAAAAAGGTAGTGGTAAAAATATGTAAAAGGAAATACAGAGGCAGTGAAATAGAAGATTTAGTACTCCTTGATGAAGAATCAAGGCCTGTAAACTTACCACCAGCATTAAAACATCCTCAAGAATTACCATAATGTGTTCAACAGATCACTGCATAAAATAGTATTTGAAGAGACAGACTGGCTTACTTTTGTACAATATAGAACACAGGCTTTCACAGATTTTGTATTCCTTTTTTCCAGTTTTGCAGAAAATTTACATTCTAGTTCTCTTCACAAAGTAGAAGTTGTAAATAATGTATGAATGAACAAACAGTACACATTAAAAGGTATGCATTAACAGCATATCAGTATGCTGTTTCATTTGCTGACGAAAATACTGTCTTCTATTTTTAATGATACATTAGGTACGATGTGTAGTTCTGTAAAGTCTTAAAACTTTTGTACTACTTTCAATTTGGTGAAAATGTATTAAGTTGTATACCATGCTTTTTTTTTTTTTTTTTTTAAGCGTGAATAAACCTACATAACAAAGAAAGGGGACCACAGTATTTGAATGTCTAAAAGTCTATGAGACCTTAAGGTTTTTAGAATGTTACCCATAATGTTGAACATGTCTGTTAAAGAATAAAACAAAAAAAAATAGTTGCTTCAGACTATTTTTGTGAGAAGTTGTAAGCAATTTTTAGATATAAAACACTATAATAAAGTACTTAATATTATTTTATTCTAAAATTGTTTAAAATTCATGGTTTTGACTGCTGCAGATTCTTTAAGTGGGTAAATTTATGTTTTGAGGTGAAATACAATTTACACTTTTTCTTAAGGACATAAATGTGGGTTTCTATATTAAGCATATTTTGTGACTACTATTAACTGATTTGTTTAGATATTAAATGCTTTAAGCTATTTTACCTTTTCAAGAAGTTGTGTTTGGTTTGACTCTGAAGCCAAACGAAAACAACAAATACAAATAGACCTACTAATAATAAGAAAAAACAACAAACAAAGTATTCATAACAGAAAAAAAACAAAATGATGCTTGTTGTTAAGTGCTGTTGAGTCGGTTCTGACCCATAGTGACCCTGCATAGCGTTTCCAAGGAGCAGCTGGTGAGCTTGAACTACCGACCTTGCAGTTCAGACAGCCTTGTAGTCTAGTGCATTAACCCACAGCGCCATACAGGACTCCTAATTTTATGCTTTATTTTGTGTGTTTGCAAATCTCATAGAATTCTAAGAAGAATGGATAGCCATGTTCAGTTCTTTAAGCACCTGTTCAATTGAATTACATTGGTCAGTAATGAGATGGAATCTTGTTTCTGTATCTTAGGTGCTTATGACTATATATTAATTGTGATGTAATCGGTTTCATTTTTTTTCAAGCTGGCCCAAGATGTTTTACTGTCTTTGTGGCCTCTTCTCTGGCTTTCTAGATGCTGCTTTTAGAGCACATTGAGCTGTAATGTGATATTGTTCAAAGAGAGAAAGCAAGAAATCACTTTTTATGTGCTAATTATATTTGAATGGAAAGTTGACTGAACATAAGTTGTGTACTAGTATGTAGAAATTATTCCTGTTTTATAATCTAGGAATGATAGGCAAGGATACTGTAGATTCCTGTACTTGAAGTGATCAGGTATGTTTTTATTTTACCAGCTAGCCTTCAATGATGATTGATTTTTTAGAATGTTTAATTGGATACCAAAGTTAAAATCTGTATTCTGTAAATGGGTCGCCTTTATATATTGTGGGCAGCAATAAATCCAAAAGTATTGTAGAAGCACTTTTAATTACCTCACTTTCCTCAGTCTTGGAGTATGTATTTTGTGGGGCTGTAATTATCGGAAGAACGAGCCAAAATTTAAAAAGAATAAATTCCTGTAATGTATCTAAGTAGGTGATTTGGTCATTTCTTAAACTGCTTGTTTCAAGGTGTAGTATCAAGATGATAGAAATCTATGAGATTTGGAAGAAGCCACTTGGTTAAAAAATAAACATTTGCTAGAATCTTATTTTTTTAAACTTTGCAAATGGAATTAACTTTGGGGAAAGCTATTCAATTAGTTTTTCACCCCAACTCTTAGATCCTGCCTCTCCTGCTAATGACTAAGTCAGTGATCATTAATGTATAAAATTCTAAAGCTTTTGATGTATTTTATCAAATTATTATGTAAAAAATTACGTGAATTTAAATTGTATATGAAAGGGTCCTCATTTTTCCTGCCAGGTACAGCTTTCCTTAATACAGAGTTCTCCTTTTGGTACCTGCATAACGGCAGTGAAAAGGTAACCAAAGCAAGCCGTACCCAAGTCAGCCCTACAGCAATTGTGTGGTACTGTAGTTTACGAGGGATTTGTTGGCCTGTCCTCAAAAGCCCTCCATTGATTCACTATCTAGACATTGACAAATCTGTACTCCACTGAGCATGATTTCTTAATATTTTCTGTGGTTGATGAATAAACAGTTCTTTGTAGCTTTCTATTTGAGCAAAATAGATGAATGTGTTTATTTTCAAGGTATTTATTTTCCCATACCCTTCCCCAAGGAAGACATTAGAACTATTTCACATTTCCTTAGTTGCCCTGGATGCAGATAGAAGAAGTATTCCTTTTTCCTGTTCCTTCCATATTAGCAATCGTAATAATCCTCTACTTATCTGTTTTTCCCCTTTCAAACGCAAAAAAAGCTGTTGAAAGAATATCATTATATAAAAATTAGTATGAAAATTTATAGTTCTTTTTCTGCCCTTTTGCTATTTATTAAGAAAACATAGAATATTTAATTGACAGGGCCCCAAACAAAACTGACTTTTAACTTTGAGAGAAACAAAAAATTGAACACTTAGGGTAAGATACGGTATATTCTTTTTAGAAAACTAGAAATGTCAAATGCTTAGTAAGTCCTGGTGGCACAATGGTTAAGCATTTGACTGCCAACTAAAGGCTGGCACTTTGAGCACTCAACAAGCTCTCCGCAGGAGAAAGATATGGCAGCCTGCTATTGTATAGATGTATAGACTTAGATACCATATGGGGCAATTCTATTCTGTCCTATAGGATTTGCTATAAAACAGAATCACCTTAATGGTTTACGTGGGTTAGTTTAAGCAACTACAAGTACTATGATATTGAAACTTTTTATTGTGAATTGAGTGAAGGTTTACAGAGCAGATTGGTTTTCCATTTAACAATTCATGCCTACATTTTACTTCATGTCATTGATTGCAATCCTCACAATGTAGCATCATGTATCCCACATTCTCCCAATATTTTCTGTTTTCATTCCTCCTGTCTTAATCCTGAATTTTGTTCCAAGGATAAATGTTGTCCTTCTGATCTCTAATGATTGATAATTCTAAGGTGTCTTTATCTCTCTAGTGTTATTTTTCCCCTAACAGACCTATATGTTGGGCTGAAATAGAGCCATGAAGTTGAGGTCATTTTCAGAACTGAAGGGTGGCTAATGGCCCACAGTAGTTTTGTTCCACATCTTTTACCCATTCCAGGCCTTTCTAATGTAATCCCTTTCAGAGCAGTTGGTAGAGGTAGCCAGACACCATCTAGGTCTTTGGCTGTTAGGATTATGGAGGCTGATGTTTTCATGGTTCCTTAGTCCATTGGACTAATCGTATCCTCTCGTGTCTATAATTTTCCTCTCTTATTTACTCCAGACAAGGGAAGACCAATATTTGCACCTTAGATGGCCACTCATGAGCTTTTAAAAGCTCAGCCACTACTCACCGAAGTAGCATGTCGAGCATTGTCTTTGTGGACTGTCTTATTCCACTTGACCTTATTATATAAAGGACCATAATTTAAGTTAATACTTTAACATTGAAAAATAGCTATCATTTATTTTTTCACTTTTTAGTTGTGAAATATAACTGCCAGTGTCATATATGTATAGTTATTGCAAGATTGGCACTTCAAACTCACCGTTCACTCCTTGGAAACCCTATATAGGGTCGCTATGAGTCAGAACCGACTCTAGGGCACTTAACTATGTAGTTAAGTGCCATCGAGTCGGTTCCGACCCATAGCGACCCTGCATAGGGTTTCTGAGGAGCAGCTGGTGACCTTGAGCTACAAACCTTGCAGTTCAAACAGCTTTGCAGTTTGGCGCATTAACCCACAGCACCACACAATATGAAAATTTGAGAAATGTTTCTTTTTTAACTTGTCTAGGAAGTTGTAGTGTTGTGGTTACAAATTAGGCTGTGAACCATAAGGTCAGCAGTTCGAAACTACCAGCTGTTTGAGGCTTTCTGCTCCCGTAAAGATTTACAGCCTCAGGAACCTATAGAGGGTCACTATGGGTTGGAACTGAGTCTGTGGCACATATCAACAGGAAGTTTATGAATCTACCTGTATAAGTCTCCCTGACTATAATCAAATCATTACTCTAGAAGGATCCAAGAGAGTAACGCAGGATTGAATTAAGAAAAATAACTGAAGGCATCAAAGCCTCAAATCCAGAGTTGTACAATACCGGGGGTGCCATTCACTTAATAAAATGAATAGTTGTGAATCAAGGTGCCTTTGGAATCCCTGAGATGGCTGTACTATAAGTAAACTAGGGGACTTCAGTGAAGTTCCTGGGGGGAAAAATCTTAAACATTTCATTTGAAATAAAAATAGTAGTTCTATTAAGTATGCGTAACATGTAAATTCTTACATACTGTTCTTGTGGACAGCATATGCTAGTTACTTGATGATGCTGGGTCACAAGTTATATTTGATTATAAATGACTGTCTTCAGTTATTTGAATACAATGGCTTAAAATCGTATCAGGTAAAGTAAGATTGAGTGGATTATGTTACAGACATTTTTCTGCTCATAAGCCCTAAGGGAAATTCAGCAAGTAGGTAGATGGGAAAATTATGTCAGTTAAGGCGTGGAATATAGGTGAGAGTGCTTTCCTACAGACATGTTATTAAGTGCTGTTGAATCAGTTCTGACTCATTGCTACCCTAAATAGGGTTTCCAAGGAATGTCTGGTAGGTTTGAACCACTAACCCTGTGAGCCTGGATCTTATCCTACAATGCCACACTAGGGTGGTGGTGGTCGTGGTGGTGTGCCGTGAAGAGTCAGTTTCGACTCATAGCAAACGCTCTATAGGGCTTCTGAGGCTGTAAATGTTTATGGGAACAGAAAGCCTCATCTTTCTCCCATGGAACAGCTGGTAGTTTCAAACTTTAGACCTTGAGGTTAGCAGCCTGACTTATAACCATTATGCTACCAGAGCTCCTTGTACAGAGAGGTAATATCCCTTGATTTAATACAACTTTGCTTCTGAATATTTGGTGTGAACCCACTATCTCCTACTCAGTTTCCCTTTCATTGTTTTCTGAAACCACAGAAGTCAGATAACCTATAAATTTCATTTGGATGGTGATTCTGGGAGAATAATGGGTGGAGAGATCAATAGTAGAGTAATAGTATCTGAGATTTTGATTTTTTAGTATAAAGCACAAGAGGATAATGAAATATTGGATGCAGGGGAAGGGACAGATTCCGGTAGTTTTCTAGAATTTATAATTCTATCACTTATTGTAATGAAATCAAGCAAAGCTGCCCTTCTGGGACTTGACCTACAGCAACAAACAAAAATAACATTAACAGCATATTGGTTTTCTATTACTGTTGTAACAAATTGCCAAAAATTTAGTAGTATAAACAATACAAATTATGTAGGTTAGAAATTCAACATGGGAATCACAAGGCTCAAATTAAGGTGTTGGCAGGACTGCTTTCCCTTGTGGAGGTTCTAGGGGAAACTCGGTTACCTTTTCAGCTCCTAGAAGGCTACCAGCATTCCTTGTCATGGTCCCCACCCTTTCTCCACCTTTAATGGTAGCAATAACAAGCCAAGTCTTACATCACTGATCTTCCTTTCTTTTATCACATCTCTTTAT